TCTCTCTGGACACTCTGGCCAGTAGGCTGAAATGGCCAGCCCCACCATTAGCCTGGGCTTCCCTGTCTCCCCTTTCTGTTTAGCTCTGGTTGGAGGAATCAGAGGTGGTTTTAGGGAAAAGCAAGTAAATAAGCATCAATTGAAAAAAATCAGAGACAAAATTATACAAAATTGACTGTAGAACTGACGCTCCCTCTGTTGTCAGCTTCTTTAGTTTTTAGAAGCATAGACTATTAAACAAAAGGGGAGCTGCCATGTGGGACAGGATCTCATGGCTCCCGGGGGCAGGTGATGTTTTGGTGGGAGAAGAAACAGGATAATACAATGGGAAAATGGAGTAGAGATTCTGAGCTTCAGTTCTCTTATTGATACAAAAAATAATATGTAAAAATCTAAAAATAGTGTTATCTCACAGAACTGTTGTGAAGATGAAATGTAATTATATAAGTAGAAAAGATGTGCTGGCAATACAGGACTGCACATGTGTTAGGGACTTGGAAGGTACCATGTCTTCTTTCCTGTGGGTGTAGCAAGCATAGGGCAGATAGCACTCCTGGAAAGCTTTGTGCCTTGGTGAGGAGCAGGACCTTAGGCAGACCTGCCCCTGTGCATGGGTGTTTTCTGAGCCTCAGAAGAGGGTGCAGAGGCTGTGCCTTGCTCACTATCTAAGTATTCCAAGAGTTTCTGAGGCTTGTCTCCCAACCCCTTCTGCAAGGACTGCAGATGCCATCCAGGCACAACTCCACTTGAACCAACATCCCCTGACTGAGCTCCCGGTCTGCTCTGACTGGTTTCAAAGTGCCTGAGGAGCTACAAGAATGTGCTTGGCGAGCCCTGAAACGAGGCTTTCCAGCACTACCAGCAATAGCTGAAGCCCACGGGTGTGCCCTGTACCCAGGGAAGGGTTGTGTGTGTGCATGTGTAGGGGTGTCCAGAAGTTCCTATGGTATTAGCTACAGCCATCCTGGAGGGACAGAGATGCTCACTGGGGAATAGGATGATCATCCTGTAGCCAGAATGAGAAAAATATTCTGTCCTATAGCACAATTCTACTCCCAGAGCTTCAATGGTTGAGCTGTGCTCTAGCTCTGGTGCAATCCCCAGGGGGCCAGTCTCACTCCTTATGGCCAAAGGTGGGATTGGGTGATGCTAGGTATTATAGTCTGGGGTCCGGGGCAGGGTTAGTCTGTAACAAGGATTAAGGATCAGTCTGGGATTTGACCAAGGGGTATCTTTTAGGTCAGAGTTATGGGTCAGACTGAAGTCTGAGTTAGGGCCCATCTGGAGCCCAGCCAGGTCCATCTGAGGCTGATAGAAGGATATCTTCTAGTGGGATCTGATTGGCAAAGCTGGCTGCTGACCTCTTCTGTCCTAGCACCCTCTTAGCAATCCTTAGCACAGGATTGCTCCAGCCTGTGCTCCAGCCCCAGCATTCCTCCTCTCCACAGTAGCTCCAGGGAGTCGTATAGAATGCCATGGCTTTCCTTTGTTTTCCTAAGTAACATTTGGGACTTGAGCAGAGAGATGATTCCATTGAGAAAATCCAGCAAATTTTGCTGAGGGACTGACTGACTGTTCTGTCCCTGTGGACATTCCCCAGGAGCTCACTTGGTAGCCAGGCAGTAAAGACTCAGAGTTTCTCCCTCATTTCCTCTCTGAGTTCCCATTCTACACCTGAACAGGAAGAGAGGCAATGGAGGACAAAAGAGAGCAAAAACAACCCCCTAGGAGTAAGAGGGTGATAGAAAGCAATTGGAGTGGGGGGACTTCTAGGGATGTGACCTCCACAAGATACTTCTGTGGACTCTTGGGTTGGTGGCTGGGAGGTGGGAGTTTTGTGACTCTGACAACGATGCCCCATTACATGTACTTGCCTTTGTGTGTGTGTGCTCAGGATCAGCCTACACATCTATTTGCATCTCCATCACGCTGTATTCACGTCCATCCTTTCAGAGACAGATCTCCCATGGGTGGATGTCCCTAGGTCCATCATCTTGCTCATTTCACCACCTTGTGGCCAATCCTGTGTGCCAGGGTGAGGCTAAATTCTTAGGCGTCTTAATTCTCAAGACAGCAGTGCCTCAACAATCTCCCCTAGCCCCATTTTACCCCAACTTCATTCTCAGATAGGGAGTAAAGTGGGCCTAGCCTCCCCAGCTCTGGGTGCCTGGTTCACATTTGACTGTCCTGTGAAACCTCTCTGCTTGGGGGGCTGCTCCCCATCTATTTCTGGGACCAAAGTGGTCCTGACAGGGACTTTGTGAGTGTCCAGTCCCCAAGCAATCTGGATGGAAGTCTGATGGAACTGAGGTAGGAGTGGAATCCTTTGGGAGCCTCCAAGCTGGCCCCTGGGAGCTGATCTCTCACTAAGAAAAGCGAATGAGGGAAGGGGGAGAAGGAAATGCTTCCCCCGAATTTGTAGTACTACAACTTTCCACCAGGTGGGGTTCCAGGGCAGAGAGTGAGAGCCGCGATGACCCAGAGCTAGGAGCAAGAGACCAGCCTTGCAAGATCTCTGGCCACATCAACCTCGGCAGGGCTTACTCAGGGAGGGACACTACATTTGCGCGCGCCTTAGACGCTCACACACGTTCTCTTCTAGTAAACTCTAAAGCAGAACTCGTATTGGGAGCTGGGCAGGTGTTCAAAGGGGACTCTCATTTCGTTTACACACACACCACCCTCAACTAAAGGTGGGATATCAAATCTCTGGCTCTGGGAGTGGAAGAGAAAACGACAGAGCGAAGGGAGCTCGGACAACAGGATGCACGCGAGAGGGAGATCCAGGCATTAGGTAGACAATTGTCAGAGCTGGTATGCAGAGCTCCATGTTAACACGGGTTAGCAGGAGAGGCCAGATGACAGACATATGCATAGAAACACAGACACACAGCTCTTGAGAAAACACACAAACACGCAGACACATCTTCTCGTTCCCCCAGAATCCAGGCCAACGCAAAGACGCACACGAGCACGCGCACACACACAGATGTGGCCCCGGGCCACACGTACACCTCACCTAAGCACGCGCTCTGGGCCCTCTGTAACTAACCCTGAGATGGTGGCCACAGTCTCTTGGTGTGTTTATTTACTCAATTGTATCAATGAATGTTTGTGCCCTTCTTTCCTGCCTCTGGTACCCAGGCTGCCGCAGCATTTGTCCTGGCGTGGGACACTCGCTGGGACCAACATCGGGGTACCACGGTCGCTGCCGGCGTTGGACAGGGACTACAAAGCGGCGGAGGTCTTGAGGTGTCAGAAACGAGGGGCTGCTGAGTTTGCCGCCCAGGACGTGGACAGGGACAGGGCAACCTCAGGGTCTTTCAGGAAAGATAAATGTGGGGGGAAGCGAGGTTTGAGGATGCAGGGATCATGATGGGAGATCTAGGATAGAATCGGACTGGGAACGGCAAAGGAGGGGTCCCGGGAGGTAAGAGCCAGTGGGTTTGGAGTTCGGGACCCTAAGCACAGGTTCAGGGGCTTTGGGCTCACCCCAGTCAAGGAAGTAGTCCAGCCAGGACCCCTGCTGCCTAGAGTACAGCCTACGCGGGACTGCCTGAGCCGGAGAAAGGGGCTAGTGACCCAAGCGAGGGAAGTAGCCTAGCAGCTGAGCGGGCACTAAGCGAGTGCGCACTGTGCGTGTGCGTGTGTGTGTGTGTGTTCGTGCGCGCGCGTGTGTCTCATCTCGTCCGTCTGTAGGTGCTGGGCTCAGCGAGACGCCGGCGAGAAAGAAAAGGAGGCGAGAGGTGAACTGAGTTTGATCCTGCGGCGGCTACAAGTGGGTCCCGGCGGGCGGCGGGCGGCGGGCGGCCTGGGCGGGGCGGGAGGCCGGCCTGCGCTCACACGCTCCGGCCGCGGGCCGGCCTCTCACCACGCCTCCCGCTTTTGTGAGCGCCGAGGGTGGGGGGATGCTATATAAACACACGCATTGGCTCGCTTAGGACGCAAATTCACATTGAGAGAAGCTTTTAAAACCATCAGCCCTGAAATCTTGCCTCCTGCTTTTCTCCCTCTTTCATTCCTTTTGCCTCCTTTCTTTTCCCCCCTTTTTTTCCCCCAGCAGCAACTCCAGAGCCGAGAGACTGCGTCCTGGGACGGACTGCCTTTCTTAATTGATACAATAGCCCAGCTCGGGTTTTCCACCTCCTCCTCCAACCCCACCCCGCCTCACCCCTCCCGCCCGCC